TCATATTGCTACGTAAACCCCATACATCCCCCAGGTAAACCTTCTATGATCCCAATAAATCCCTTATACTTCCTATGTAAACCCAGGTCAAATGCATTGAAGCCAACTGCCGCGGCGAGAATGAGCAGGCCTTTACTCTTGCAGCTGTGGAGGAGAACACCGGAGACATTGCGGGCTACGTTCACGCAAACAGAAACGATCCTGGGATGTCAAGTCCTTAAGGCTCCAAATAGCTCAAAGTAGATACTATGTATAAAATTTGGGCCGTAAGCTTTAAACCCCAATGTAGGTAGTATTTATAGTCGTTAGGGCTTAGTAGGTATTTTTTGTAGACCTGGAGCCAACGGGAGTGGTATCCTATTATCCTTTCTAATGGTATTATGTACCAAGGACAAGGATTTGAGGCTGAACATAGGCTACCTGAAGGTTGACAAGGAGCACCAAAGTAAAGGTGTGGGCAAAATGCTACTAGAGGCTGCCGAAAAGGTTGCTGTTGCCCGCAGCTGGCCATTCAAGACCACATCCCTCGCAGTCCTGGAAGCCAACGTTAAGGGCCAGCACTGCTACAACAGCGCAGGCTTCGAAGTTCTGCTACAGTCCGAGGGCAGCTTCCCAGATGATGGCCCCAAAGAGAAATGGTTGAGGATGTCCCGCAAAAGGAAATTTGAAGCGTAGTGCAGGAAAGCATGCAAACGCATTGCTATTGTTCCCTACCCTTTTCAGCTCGAGTGGTGGGCAAGCCCGGACTTGCGAACTGTGCCAGACTTCCGGACGAGCAGAAATTCAGCGCGCTACTCCGTGCATCGTATTTTTACATAGGACGTTCTCCCACGATCAGCAAGCAGTTCTTAACAGGGATTGGATCCATACGCCCACGCCAGATTCCCAAAGAAACGTTGGGTTTTGAGAACCCTCGAGAACTACTGAGACGTTCATCGTGAGCCCTATTATCTGTACCATCGAACAAAATGTTGAGGATGCAGAGCTTAAGGTTCATGAGATGGATTAGGGATATCGAGTACTCCTAACTGCCTCCATATGGCTGAAGCCTTATAGGAAACATTCAGCTTCGATGCTCAAACCCCCACTTGAGCCATGTTGGAAGTTCCGGAACGGTATTGGCCAAATCATGCTGAGTGTGAGCCAGCCTTGATTCTAGATGGGTATCTACCCCAACAACACCAGAAAAAAAAGATAGGGTTTTGGATCATGTTGGATACCCAGCGGCTCATCTATCGTCTTTTAGGGGTTGTCATGGCTTTTTGCAAGGGGGTTTTAATATTGTACCCAAATGGAATTAGTTCACGGGTATCAGCCCAAGGGCCAAGCACCCAATTCATGAGCAATCCGCCAGTGAGATAA